GTGAGGGCAGAGCACAGGAAAGCAGAGTACCATCCCATTTGGTTCACTACATCCTCTGGGGCAGAGGTGGTTTTTCTTCCTTATCTCAAGCTCATCATTGGGAGGGAGGCTGGAGGAAGATGACTCATGGCCGTAGGACCACATCTAATTTAAACCCTCCTTCTGCTGCAGTGAGGGGTTTGATTTATTGGTTTCCTGTAACACAGACCTGTAAACAATAGCAAAGACCCTATCGATCTTCAAGACTGTATCACAAGGCACTGTTAGCAAGATGTGTAAATACAGACATAAAGGCAAAACAGGACACCCTCCTGGGAAGCTGCAGCAGTGCCAAGTGAATCAATAATCGAGGGCGAACTTTTCTGTGGTCTGTTGATTCTGAGAAACAGCTGGACTACCTGCAAACAGGGGCTGCCTCTGTTGAATTTCATCTGCCAGGATTTTCCCACCTCGGCCAATTGCTACCCTGCCTGCTCTCCTTCCGGGTGGAGATGACCTGTATGCAGGGTTGGTCCCTGCCCTGTAGAGCCCTGGGAAGAGCTGCCTCGAGAAGGAAGTTTCCGGATGCTAGAACGGAACAACCTAGTTTGGTTTCTGTCTCGCCCTTGCGTCCCCCCTCCCTCTCTGGGTCCCTCCAGGCTGCCTGTGACTTGCTTCTGAGCCCTTTAGAAGCGATGTCTTTCCGGTTTCCCGGTGCCCTCCCCTGCTTGTTGGCACAGAGATGCCTCCAATGGCAAGGCGCCCTCCTCTCTGCTCCTCCCCCCGACTCCTTCCTGGGCAAGCACTGTACTCTCCGTATTCTAGCTGCTCAAGCTGTGTCTGTGCTAAGCCTTCAGCACCTTATAAATCCATAAAAACAAGCCCGTCTCTGACCAGTCAGCAAAGCCCCTGCCTCCATCATGCCCCCAGCCTGCTCCTCCTTTCTCCCTATTCAAAGGAAACCTCCCGTGTTTTCAGGCACATTCGCTTATTGTCGCCCAGGGGTGCTCCTTTTCTGCTTGCTTCTGAACCCTGGCCCTTGAGATTCTCCCCCATGGGGCTACCTTCCTTTCTTCTCTCTGTCCATCCATCACTTCTTTTTATGCCCTGCTCAAAATTCACTTCTTCCAGAAAGAAGGAAGATGAAAGAGGAACTGGTGGTTGGAAGGGCTACTGATCAAAGCTGTGCTTATCTAAAAACAGCAGGAAGGTAATGCAGCTGGGCTCTTCCGCAATTCCTGGACCGTCTTTAGGCAGCAAATGCTCCTTGATGCTTGAAAGTGAGGGTTTTTAAGAGACGTGCAGCAAAATTATTAAAACTTTGATTTGCTCAGCCCCCTTAATAGAGGGACTGTATAGCCTGGGACCAATCAAACATTGTAAAATGACTTGAAAACTGAAGCCTGAAAAAAATGCATTACATCAATCTACTGTATGGCATGATTTCTCCTCATTTTCCTCTTTTCTGAATATCAATGATAAGGAAAAATACAGTTTATTTACGGTTGTAGGTCATCTTTAGGTGATGTTTTATTGTACGACTTTTGCCCTCGTGAATAGTAGAATGATTCGTGAAACGCATTCCTCTATTATGAGTGAGATATAGATATTTATAGATAAATAACTTCTCCAAGCTAAGAAGTATATAAAAGCTTGGAAGTTGTAATGATTCATATTTACTGAAAGCCACCCTTGGTCAGTTATTTTTATATGTAAGTTAATTCTCATATCTTTGCAAGTTAGGTATCATTACTCATTTCGTAACCAAGCTGGACCCTGCTGTATTCTCTGCCTCTTGTTTGTAGAAAAGCCTTAGCCTCCTAAGCCCTCCCTGAGTTCCAAAGAGCAAATTAGGCGGAGAAGGGAAAAGTGCAGAAACCAAGGAAAACAGTGAAGCAAGACAAAATAGGAGATTAGCCATAAAACAAGGAATTTTAGTTCCTCTTGAGGGGCCATAATTTTCTGAGCCATATCCTTGAGCTGTTTTGCAGATACTGAAATCCCCACCAGGTGGAGGAAATTAACTGCATGCTGACCTCAAGCACATAGACCCAGAGTGGCTGGAACCAGGAAGTTAATGATGTTGACTCTCGATTGCCTCACCACCAACCAATCAGAAAAATGTCCACGAGCTGAGCGTGCACCCCACGACTCTCCCTCAATCTGTCTTTAAAAACCTTTCCCTGAAATCCACCAGGGAGTTCAGGTCTTTTGAGCATCAACTGCTCGTACTCCTTGCTTGGCAACTGCAATAAACACTGCACTTTCCTTTATCACAGCCCAGTGTCGGTAGATTGGCTTTACCACAGGAGGGCGAAAGAACGCAAGTTTGATTCAGTGACAGTTTATCAGATGAGGGAGTTGGGTTCAGGGAGATGAGGTCACTCCCAACTCCTTTATTAACAAGTGGTATTGGAATAGGTTTGTAGCAATCAGATTCTCGTAAGAGATAAGAGCTCAATGGATGTGACGCAGATGGAGATGTTGACGAGGCTATTACATAGATGGGTCTGGAGTTCAGAGAGATAATTTGGGGATTGTCAGTGTATAAATATGCTTGGCTGTGACACTCCTCACTTTCACAGCCGACCCGCTGCACAACTCAAGGGGGCAACAGTCCCATTTCTCCTGTGTGAAAGACAAGGACACAATTTGGGTTGAATTGTCCCTGCAAAAACTCATACGGTGAAGTCCTAACCCCCAAGGACCTCAGAATGTGACCTGTGTTGGAGATAGGGCCTTTACAGAGGTAATCAAGTCAAAACAAAGGTCATTAGGAAGGGTCCTGATCCAGTATGACTGGTGTCCTTATAATAAGAAGGGAAAATGTGGACCCAGACACGCATCTGGGGAGAACTCCACGTGAAGATTGGACTCATGCTGCCACAGGTCAAGGAACTACCAGAAGCTAAGAAAGGGGCTGCAACAGAGCTTCCTCTATCACCATGAGAGGGAGCATGGCCCTGCCAACACCTCGAGCTGGGACTTCCAGCCTCCAGAAGCATAAGACAATCCATTTCTGTTGTTTAAGCCACACAATTTGTGGTACTTTGTCACAGCGGCTCCAGGAAACTAATACAGACACCAAAGAAAGTATTGTGGACAACGTAACTCTGGGAACCAACCACTATCTTACGATTCATGTAGAGGTAGACGGAGAAAGAGGAAGGGATGGGCTGGAGAGGAAGATGGAGGTGAGACATCCCATCAGAATTGCTTCTGGTGCTAAAATGAAAGTTTGCGTCCCTGAGAAGCTGACAGACTGGTTTTTCTTAGTATCTGATGAAGACATGTAATGTTTGAAAAAAGCCTCTGAGATGATTTCTACCTTGGTCCATGTGGGCCTCTCATAAAAAATAGAATTTTAAAAATTCTTGATCCTGTGGTACCATTTGCAGTTTAAATATTTGTTCACTGCATCTGTCAAGTTGAAGTCTGTGCTCACATGACCACACAGATGAACCTGGCGGTCCATCTTGCCTCTCAGCTCTTATAGAACAGTCTAGAACAAGCCAGTTCTCAGAGGATTTCAGAGCTGCTACAGCAGAGAGTTGGAAAACATACCCTTTGCTGGAAGACAGAAGAGGGTTTTGTGTCTCTTTGATTTTTTAGAACTATTGAAGCCCAAGTGGCGTCTGCAGATCTAAATGGGGGAGAAATGCCCATCTGTTCACATTTATACACACTGGGCCAGCAGAGCAGAGCGTACACAAAGGAAGCAAGCCAGGACCGGGCCGAGGCCAGCTCCTCCCATCTGCAAACAGTTGAACACATGCCCGACACACACACAAAACAGGATGTATATTTAGAAAAGAGAACACTATATAATTAGAAAATAATTACTTCTTTTGGCACTCTTTTTAATAAGAATCTATTGAAACCCTTTGCTATTAGGAGGCTTATCAGAAGCACGGCTGGGGAGGCGCTGATACAACAAGATAATGTGAAATATTCACACGATCCCAAACCAGACCTCTCCAGAACAGGCCGCCACTGGCAAGAAGTCCTCATCTCTGCCTTCCTCTTTAGTGATAAACCTGCTGTTGGAAACACCAGCCCATTTTAATGAGGTGTCATCTGCCCTTCACGGACCTCCGCTGTGGAGCCCTTTAGGCAGAGATGCTTGCATGCATATGACAACCCTGCAGGCATCAGGCACCAAATCTCCAGCTGGACCCACCAGGCTGTCCCAGCTCCATCCCGGGTTGAGTGTCTGTTGTGTTTATAGACCTCCTAGCACCTCACACTTCCAGGGGCAGATGGGAAAAACCATAGGAACTGGATGTGGTGCAAAGTGAGCTAGAACAATGGCAACGGGTGTGGGCATTTCTGAGACCCCAGAGAAACTCCTTTGGTGTAAGAGTTCACGGCACACTCAGCCTGTTAGTTGACGGTGCGAGGAAAACTGCCATTCATCTCAGAACAGAAGGTCAAGGTTTGGGTGGCTGGACAGATGGCCAGACAGCCCCACAAAGGCCATCCCTGGGAGCGCTGGCTGCGACAAATCCGACTGTGGGCACCCCTTCTGTCCCTGGTCCTCCAAATGTTTATAAACAGATGAAATCAGATTATAATAAACAATAAGGGCACTTGGAAAAATAAGCTAAGCATCTGTAAAAGGAGGCAGCGGCAGCGCCATCCAAGCCACGCTGTAGGCTGCCTGCAAAATGCCAAATCTGGGAGAAAATCCTTTCCTTTCCACTGTCTCTCCAAGTCCAAATTCAAAGCCAGCTCGGGGTGGGTGGGGGGAGGAGGGTTACAGGATGACTTTGACTTTTCATTTTGTACCTTTCAATAATTGTTTTGAACACTTGTGTTGATTTGTTTTTTTTTTTTTTTTTTTTTTTGCAGTACGCGGGCCTCTCACTGCTGCGGCCTCCCCTGCCGCGGAGCACAGGCTCCGGACGCACAGGCCCAGCGGCCACGGCCCACAGGCCCAGCCGCTCCACAGCACGCGGGATCCTCCCGGACCGGGGCATGAACCCATGACTCCCACATCGGCAGGCGGACTCCCAACCACTGTGCAACCAGAGAAGCCCGTGTTAATATTTTTATAATTACAAATTATTACCAAAGAGAGGGTCTTTGGTCCCACCCACACTGATGTATATACACTAATTCCAATCAAAATGTGTCCTGCGCTTTGTTCTTACGGAACTTTCTAGAGCTCCACTGCCAAATACATCTGCAGGATCTCTGCAGGGAAAGCAGGCTACAGGCTGCCTCATAGAAAAAACGAGCATTCTGTCATCTGTAGCTGGGGGAGTCATTTCAGAAGAAAAGCTGGAGATGACAGATTTTCTGAAAAGATGAGCTGTGAGTAGCTGAAGAGTTTTCTCCTTCAAATCTCTTTTCAAGACAAACATCACATCATGTCCTCTTCTTTATCTAAACCCCACGCCCGCGGAGAGCAGTATTCTCAAGCGGAAGCAGCCAGAAGTCTCCTGCGGAAGCCCGCTGCCTCGGAGGGACTGCACACGGTGACCACCCCGTACCGTGAGCGCTGCTGCCCTGTTTCTTTGTCTCCAAGTTGCTCCCTCCCAGCTGGATGCCTCCTCCAGCCGACTGCTGTTTGAACTCCAGGCCTAGTCACTCCCCTCAACATTTCAGGCTCTTTCTCCCTGTGATCTAGACACCCCTCCTAAGTGTGGTCCCAGGCCAGCACGCAGATCCCCTGGGAGCGTGATGGAAATGCAGAGTCTCAGGCCCCACCCCCGACCCACCGAATCAGAGCCTGCATTTTCACAAGATCCCAGGAGGTCCGTGTCCACTTTCAGTCTGAGGGCCCCTCAGAGGAGGCCTAGTAGCCCTCCCTGGCCAGGGAGTAGTGGAAGCATCTTTAAAGACAGCAGCTTTCTGAAAAGGCTACATCCTGTAGGTTTCCTCCTTTGTGCCCTTCTGGAAAAAAGCAAAACTATGGAGGCAGTAAAACAACCGGTGGCTACCAGGAGTTGGGTCTGCAGGGAAGGAGGGAGAAATCGGTGGAGCACAGGGGATTTTTAGGGCAGCAAAATGACCGTGGGTGATGCTGTGATGGTGGACACGTCATTGTATGTGTGCCAAAACCCAGGGAGTGTGAGCGCAAAGAGTGGACTGAAATGGAAACTGTGGACTTTAATGAATCGTAATGTGTCAATACTGGCTCCTCAGTGATAAGAAATGTATCACACTAACGTAAGATGCGAATAATAGGGGGACATATGGAATGGCGGTAAGGGGCCATATGGGAACTCTTTGTACTTGCCACTCATTTTTTGGTACACGTAAAACTGCTCTAAAAAATAATCTATTACTTAGACAATAACAACAACACACTGTTGGGGCTTGAGATGTTCTTTTAGTTTGGGGTGCGTGAAACAGTCGCTGAGCTGTCCTTACAGCGTTTCCTCTTGCCCAATGTGAACTGCTGTGGCCATTCTGCTCCACAGCTGGGCAGGACCCAGACTGCTAGGAAGGAGACCCCTTTGGAATGGGTGGATGGGACCAGGACCCTGTGAGCTTGTGTGTCCCAGCCAGGATTTGTACGCATCTTCCAGAGTAATCCTACATGGGGCAGCCCTAGGTTTAGGGAGCTTGGATTTAGAGAGCAAAGTAGGAAGTGGATCACACTGGAAGTAGTGCTTTTAAGAATGGGGGAAAACACAGATGCAAATATTCTGTGCTCCGGGAGACGTATTAGGAAATTACTAATCCTGGAGGAATGTGAAATAGGGCACAAATTCTAAAGAAAAGTGTCTGTGCTAATACATGCATCTTACACTTTTTGTCTAAAGATGAATTTAATTAAACAGAACATTCTAACCAGATATGTGAGTAATGATGGGAAGTGGCCTGACGTTTCGGAAGCCCCCCTCCAGCTACAATAGCATAATCGACTCTAGTGCGACAGATAGACCCAATGACGGAATTCACGTTTTCTGTTGATATAGTAGCTGGATGTCCAGAAATTCTGAGGTTAGGAATGGCGGTAGGGAAGATTGGGGCTGTGGACAGAACCTGCTCAGGACCAAGTCCGTAACGAGACAGCCACGTGCAAATACACAAACAGACGCATAATGTGAGGTTGGTACAAAGGCTAACGGTACAGATAAAGATGGACTTCTTTGAGACTGACAATGGATTCAGTCTCTCCATAAGCCTGCTCACAAATCCTGCTCCGAAATCATCTCAGTGAAGACAGCAGGTGACAGCTTTGGAAGCAGCTCGGAATACAGGCAGCTGGGAATAAGGATTGTCAGCTCTCTGCAGGCTATGTGTTCCCTCCAGGGTGTTTTCAAATTTCTACCCACAAGGCTGTGTGCTGCCAGCCGGTGACCGTTAGTTAACAGGAGATGTTAGGTTTTCTTTCCTGCTGGGGTCCCAGATGCCGTCTTCTTCACGGTTGTGCAGTTTGGCTGAATTCTGCTTTTCCCAATGCTTGGCTTCTTCTGTTTCTGGCTGCTGTTTTGAAGCGACTTCAGCCCCAGCATTTTACAATACTTGTTACACTGGTGTAGCGCTTTAAACTGATCAATGAAGGTCATGGAACAGTTGCCTTTAAATCCTTTGTACCTGTGGGTTTGGGTGGAGGGAAACAATTTTTTTTTTTTTTTTAAACAGGACCCTTCACCAACATTCAAAGAAACGTTTCAGCGGGGAAACTAATGGTGTGTGAAAATATATTTATTCCTACTTTAGGCAAGAATGACCAAATGGTTGACATAACTACTGATAGAAGAAACAAAACCTGTGGATTGAAGTAAAGGCAAAGACCAACTGGCATGAAGTAAAGACCAAAGATTATGATCAGACAAATGTTCTAGGGGTTGACAGTTCTGCTATGTCAGCATTTTATAGCTTTTTTTTTTTTTTTAGTCATAGTGACTAGTGCTGGACCATCTCCATAAAAATTAGAAGATCTCTTGGTGATCTGAAAGCCATCCCATCCCATCCAGAGGTTCTGAATAAAGAAATCTAGAACTTTGGGGCTGGAAGAAGTTGAGTTTAGACCCTTCCACTTATCATTGAAGGAGTTTAGGCTGAGAGGCCTGTGCGGCCAGCCTAAGACAGCAAAGCAAGTGGGTGTGAGAGAAGAGACCAGGGTACAGCCCTCTGAGTCTCCCTCCTACAGAAGGGCTCTCTCCTGTGACAGTGCATCCTCTCCTCAGGAGAAGAATCTGGGCCTTTGTCTCTGGTAGGCTCCTGGAGGGACCCTGCTGACCTGCCTGGAGTGGTCTCGGGCTGTTCCTTTGGGTTGGGACATTTCATATTCAAATCGTCAATGGCTGTGTTTTCACCTCTCGATCGATCATGGGAGGTAAGTGTCTTCCTGAATGGACAAGTCCCCATGCCCCCAAATCTCCAAAATCCAGCAAGAGAGCTGGTGAAGGGTTGCTGAGAGGATGACGTTGAGGAAATGCACACAAACCACCTAGATCAGCGCACGACGTACAGTGGATGACGTTCAATTAATGCTGGCCAGGCTGTATTACAGTTGTCAAGGTTATAATTGGTGCAGCCGGTAGGGGCTTCCTGTGGAAGGGATGCTGAAGCTGAGATCGAAGGATATGGGATTTGCCTGGTAAAGAGGATACGCAGGGGTGTGGATGGCATATGAGACCATCGACATAATTTTCAGGGCCCAGTGCAAAACGAAAACATGGGTTCCTTGGGCAATAATTATTAAGACTTTCAAGATGACAACAGCAGAACATGCATTAAACGAAGCCCAGGCCCGTCTGAGTGTGGGGCCTTATGTGACCACACAGCCTGCCTGCCTAGGAAACTGGTCCTGCTGGGTGTGAGTGAGTTCTCCTGCATTTGATTAACAGGGCCAAACGCTAATTGGCAAAAGGAAGTCTGCAATGCTGGCATTGCGCTGAATCTGTAGCTAATGTGATTCAAGAAACTGAGCCTCCTTCATTTGCTGGTAGAAACCATAAAGGCCAACAGACCTGGCTTGAATAAACTGGGACTTGTGCGCTTTTCCCTAGGAAACCCAAGCTGGGTTTTAGGCTGTTAAGGGCCTGAAAGATTTCTTTCATCTCTGAAGCCAAAGCATCAGTGAGCGGCTCCATCCTGACGTGTTTGTTACAAATCCAGCCTGCCTCTTCCTCCTCCTTGAAGGGAAACGGCTCTTCCCCCTCTCCCTGGGAGCCCACAGTACGTTTTCTTGGGAAAAACGACTCCGTTTTTAAAAGCCAAACTCCCTCGTTGAAGAAAAAGTCAGCCCAAGACAGGTGTTGACTCTAGCGGGGTAGAAAGAAATGCCACTGCCAATCATGTCATCTTTACATTTCTATCTTCTTCTGTAGGAGGTCATGAGAAAGGCTAAAATAGCCTGACTGCATTTCCTTGTTGCCTGAGCACGCCCCGGAGGGATGCGAGGCCACTTGGACCTGTGATTGTCAGATGGAATGGAAAGCCTAATCCCATCCTCCTGCCAGGGAGGCCCCACTTGTCTCACACCGATTCCTGAGCTTCTCAAACTAGGATGATCAAAGGCAGCCTCCCTACAGAAGCACATTGGAAACTAGTCAAGGTCATCTGTCTAAAGCTGCCTTGAGGCTTGTAAACATTCCGACAACACCTAGTCTCAGCAGAGAAGAATCACTAGTTGCACTGCAACCTCCCAGAAAATTTGCTAATTGCTTCTTAAGCCCAGCCTGGCGGCCAAGTGTATAATGCTGCGTAACAAATGGTCCCTTACATAATGGTTCCCACCTTCTGAAATGGGAATGGCTGAGTTTGGGACAAAGGAGCAGGACTTCTGGGCAGCCCAGCAGGGTGCAGCCCAGATCTCTTCCTAGGAATCTAGCACCTTCTTTAGACTCCTCCGGGAAAGCCAGAGTAGGCAGCAGAGACTGGGGCCGATTTTACTACAGAAGGCCGCACACAGATGGGGCAAGGCCCTAGAGTGAAGGCAGCTTTGCTCAGTCAAGGAGCCCCTGACTCAGCCCCTGGCTTCCTTCAAGCCCCAGCTCGAGTGCATTTCTGTGGAGCCTCCCCCCTCTCACACCATGAGAAGAAATCTCTCCAGCATCTTCCCTGTATCCTTGTGAGAACTACATCCACTTCTCAGAATTCAGGGTATGCCTTCCCGTGCACAGACTGATCTCCCCCAGGACACTACTTTATGTCCAGAATACCTGTCTAGGGAGGCTTTTCAATAAAGGTCAAGGGAAGAAATGAATGCATGCCAGCCCCATCCTCAGAGCTGCCTCATCTCGGCCCAGGGCATCTCCAGATCACACTGCTAAACTTCCTTTTCTCTCTCCGTCTAATTTTGGACTCTCAAATGGGCCTCCCAGGCAATATGGAACATCCCTCCCCAGCTATCTCAGGTGTAGACTATTTTTGCTACCTAGCATCTGCAGAATTAAAAATCTTTCTCCTTTCTCAATTTGGTCTCTGTCTCAGCCAGGGCTGCTGGGCTTCTATTTGACCTCTTATTCTCTCAAACTCACAGCCATTGCTGCTGCCTGGGAAGAAAACAGGGCAACATCGTTTGTGTTCCTAGATCAGTTAACCCAGAGTTTTTCCAAAGGACACAAGTTCAATTACACCAAGTGCTCGTACACCCAAGAAATGAAAAATCCAGGCTCTCCTGCTTGTGGTCCACCTTGCATGCCACGTGTGCCATCTGCCACCCTCAGAATTGGAGGGGACCACAAATTTGAAGCATCATGACATCTCTCCAGCAAGGTCCCCACTGCAGACACTCGCCATTGTTGTTCTTGTTGGATGAATGTATTGGGTCGAATAGTGTCTCCCCCAAAAGTCATGTCCTTCCCAGAACCTCAGAATGTGGCCTTATTTGGAAATAGTGTCATTGCAGATGTCATTAAGATGAGGTCATACTGGAGTAGAGCGGGCCCTTAATCCAATAAGGGCATCTTACTGGTGTCTGTGTAAGAAGAGGAGAGGATATAGACACACAGGGAGAATAGCACGTGACAACAGAGGCAGAGATGGGAGCCGTAATCTACAAGTCAAGGAACGTTGAGGATGGCAACAACCTCTGGAACGTAGGAGAGAGGAGGGGACACATTCTCCCTCAGAGCCTCCAGGAGACACCGACCCTGCTGCCTGACTCTGGACTTTCAGCCTCCAGAACTGGGGAAGGACACATTTCTATTGTTTTAAGCTACCCGGTTTTGTGATCATTCATTTTGGAAGCCCAAGGAATCTAATACAATGGGAGAAAATAACCTTGTATTTGAGAACTTTCTCACACATTTCCATTTTTAGAAACCTTAGTTCTATTGAATTTTATTAACGGAACCTTTGCACCCTTATCCTCAAATTAGTATAATTTTCTAGCCCATCGCTTTAAATTATCCATCTTCTCTCACAATCTCCAAGCATGGAACAATACATTTGTTCTACTGAACATCATCCAGCAGAGTGTTTTCGTAAATACCTTGCCCCTTGGATGGGAGTGGGGCCTACACGTCATGCAGGGGCCTTTTGCCAAAGTGCTGGCTTGAAGTGAGTAGGTCCGGGGTGGGGTCTGAGGTGCTGCATTTCTAACCAGCTCTGAACCCATGCTGATGCAGGGGCCCCCCCTTGGAGTAGCAAGGAGATGACTAAAGTGTGAATGATCTCACATCATCCTTCTTTGACTTCAGAAACCTCTTTAAATCGGAAAATGGATCTCTTTCCTTCTTGACGTTTGTGTCATACAACTTTGTAAAATCACACTGTCACAATCCACTTCAGGAGGAGCTAGGGGGCTATTTTTACATCCTGCCTTCGCTCCACACAGATTTATTCAGCTTTTCACCATTTGGTATTATGTTGGCTGCGGGTCTGTCATAAATGGCTTTTATTATGGTGAGATATGTTCCCTCTATACCCACGTTTTTCTGCATCTATGGAGACGATCATGTGGGTTTTGTCTTTTCTTTTGTTGATGTGGTGTATCACACTGATTGATTTGCGTATGTTGAACCATCCTTGTGACCCTGGAATGAATCCAACTTGATCATGGTATATGGTCCTTTTTTTTTTTAAAGGTCCTTTTTATGTGTTGTTGGATTCTGTTGGCTAATATTTTGTTGAGGATTACACAGATTTATTCAACATGTGTTGGAAACCGTGCTAGGCTTCTTGCTTAAAAGCGAGTCCCCTTGGGCTTCCCTGGTGGCGCAGTGGTTGAGAGTCCGCCTGGCGATGCAGGGGACACGGGTTCGTGCCCCGGTCTGGGAAGATCCCACGTGCCGCGGAGCGGCTGGGCCCGTGAGCCATGGCCGCTGAGCCTGCGCGTCCGGAGCCTGTCCTCCACAACGGGAGAGGCCACAGCAGTGAGAGGCCCGCGTACCGCAAAAAAAAAAAAAAACCGAGTCCTCTTTCCTCTCTTGCTGACAATGGATGGCACAGCCTTTCGGACTCATACGAAAACCACCACTTGACAGCAATGGTCGGCTTCTCCCTCAGCTTAGCACAGATTCCCTGTGCAATTTACTGCCTCCAAACACGCCCAGAGAGGGGAGGGGGTGGAGCAAAGCTGCAGAAAACTCCCACCTCTGGCTGCGTGGAAGAAATCAAGGTTCTTGTCTGGCTTAATAAAG